ACGTGAAACACACCATAAGCAGGGAAAGCCCAGATAAAACCCAAGTGAGGTTCTATCCCGAAACCAATTGGTGGAAGGAGGAGAAGACGATTACACTTATAAATTATACATATTTTCCCTATATAAACGATGTGAGACAACTCACAAGTGATATTCTAACAATATTTGTTCATTTGCTATAAATATATACTATTTGAATCATTAAATACTTTTAAAATATATTACAGAAAAATAAGAAAATTTCTTTGGATCAACCTAGAACTTGAATTTGGTTATTACTCAGGTTGATTGAATTACTTTTAAGTGATGTTTAAAATAGACCGAAAGCATAACACAACTGGGATTGATACTTGGTGACCAAGTTATGATTCAGTTTGATTAGACCTAATTTATTATTGAAACCAAATATAAATATGCATATTAAAAATATTTTATTATGATAAATGTAATATAGCCCAAGATTCAAGGAATCATGTCAAGAGTGTTTTCATGACTACATGTTCCATGATTTATGAATATTTATATATCATTTTTATCAATATTTATGTTAGTAAAATGATATTGTATTACAACTTTTATTGATAAAGGTAAATCAAAGTTTTCACACCGCGACCATCAGTTTGACTGGACCTATGTACATTTGCACAGATGTAAATAAAATATTGTAAGTTACTTATATGCATATAATGATTAATTATTTTTCTTTCACTTTTTTGCCGACCAAATTTACAATTAAAGGAATTGGAATATTTAATTTTTTTTTTAAATTGCGGTTATCTGATTGGATGTAATGTATATTTTGGTACGTCTTTTTTTTGTAAATTATTTATTATTTATTTAGGAATTTCAAATACATTTTTTATTTTAATAAAATTAAATAAAATGTAACCACAATAATAACTCTAATCGCGTTATACGGTCAACACATTATATGGTCAACTGTCAGTAATCAAAAGTATAAAATGATTTTTGTAATTTGAATTTTTTTAATATAAATAAAATGCAAATTTCAATAAAGTGAAGCTTTATAAATTATTTATTTATTAGTTTAAACACTTGAAAATTTTAAAATATTTTTATATTTTATCAATATTTCTAATCTACATATATAATTACTAGCTAATAGCATTTAATAAAACCTATTTAATTTTACCTATGTGGCAATTTAACCATTTCCCTCCAAAAACCGTTACTTTTGATGTACTTAATCTTTCATTTAATTATTAAATAATCAATACTACTAATAATATTAAATGTAACAAAAATTATTATAAAATTGTACCGATCCTACATGCCCTAGTGGTTGGTGTTGACCAATTCGCTAGTTAAAGTTTTATATCGATTAATAAATTGGCACCAGGTCCATCTGATTGGACTGTCTGATTTTGTCCGATTTTGAAAACAATGTGTAAATTATGATTAATGTTATTTATATATTTAAATTATAATACAATTGTGATATTGCTCCTCATGCATCACACGAACCACGCACTAGTGTGTTAAATTATCGTGTTCTATATTTCTAGACATTCAAAATACATACTATTTTTAAATACTATTTAAATAAAAAATATAAATTAGATATAAAACTATTATATATCATAAAAAGCAAAAAGATAAAAAAAAATAATATTAATATTAGAACTTATCTTTATACTAATCAGTCTTCTTTATTACTTTAATTTTTTCCACTCCACGACTGCATATAATAAATTTGGACACAATGAGACATTCAGGAAAAATGGTTTCAACCACGACCACAAAGTCTTCTCGCAATTAATAAAAACAAGAAATATAATGTTGTCATGATATGAATTATTCAACCAACTTAGACCCACAACATTCTTTCTTGAAGTTGTTGGGCAATTTTGGCCAATCTGAACCCATTTACAAGTGCTCCCAGTATACCCATAAGAAAACAAAAGAAAAAAAGTACTGAATGGGATGCTTTGACTAGGTCAGTCCGACTTTGGAATTATTATTATTCCCTAATTACACGTTAATATAAAAAGTTTATAATTGAAGAGCTCTAGCCTGCCCAGTAGAGTCTAACGACTTCTAGAACACTGAAATTAGACGGCTAAAATATTTCGGAAAAACAAATTTTCCAAGAATAAGCCCAATTGAAATCAAGCAATATTGTTGTAAATTTGAAAGAATCCTTTAGGTTGTAGACAAATGTGAGGAACAATAAATGATTTAATAGCACAACATTCTTGAGTAAAAAACTTGACTCGGTGAAAATTTTTTAAACTCTTATCACAGGTAATGAATGATTGACAAAACCAGATGTCGTGAATGTCTGGACCGACACAATCGCGAGAATACAACTCAACTCCACACAAATCAAAACTCAAGTCACCGCTTCGATTGCTTCACAACATTTGGAAAAATACAGTCTTTGGAAAAACAAAATCCATAAGATCTGGTTATTTGGTCCTTCAAGCCAACGAGAACTTAAAATGACCATTTTGTCCCCAAACCACTTGAAAATCAAAAGGTTGTGATTGGACATAACAACAATAGATACTTGGGGCGAATACTGAGAAGAATAGACCCTGAATACCATGACCAGACACCTGCTGTTTCCATCATTCAAACATAATTTCTGGTAAGAAAAAAATAAACAGAGTTATGTTATAGCACAAAGTGAAATACAACGTAAAGGAACGACCACAAAGCCGCTAGTTCAACGCATCAGGAGCAAATATACAAATCAAGTTAGTATTATAGATTGTGCACAAAAATTTTACGCCAAAAGCCTCAGAGTAAGGATTATCTTTATCTGAGACAGGCAAGCGCTAAGATATTCTTTCCACTACTTTGATGTGTTCTCATCAAAGTTAGAACAATTATAATTTAGAAAAGCTACATCAAAAAGCAAAGGCAAAGTATACTTCAAAGATCTTATATGGAGAATATCGGCATGGAAAGAGATTGAGATTGAAACTAATTATCATTATGAAGAAATGCTCCTAAAATTCTTGCCACCAGCTCTGAAGGATATAATTAGCATATTGCCATATTCCTATCCCGATGTCTAATGCAACCAATTATGCATTAACTAAACATCATATAGGCAAGTAAATTGTAATATTTCATAAATGTGGAATAAAAACACAGTTAGATACAGCATATCTAATAGCAGAACCACCATATATCTAGTTAATACTATTTTCTCTGTTAGAACTTACTTTTCACGAAAATGTTTTTAAATCTCATATTAGGATGTTACATTTGTGAATGAGTGAACGACCATTAAGTGTAAGGTAGAAGCCAATTAAGCACCGACATTTCATAATACTTTTACCAATTCCTCTACTTAATTGCAAGTCCTTTTGAACTATCTCACCATTCTCTATCGTCGCTCTACCAAAGCTAATATTCTTTTTTTTTCGATTAACTACAACATTTCGTAGTATTTTTATCAATTGCTTTATTTACTTAATCATAAGTCGTTTTTGCCCTATCTAACTATTCTTTCTCATCTCTCTCTGTGTCAAATCTAATAATATTCCTTTTCTTCCCACATCTTACGCCACCTTCCATCACTTCCATTCTCCGATCGCAGGTAAAGTGCAGATCTCATCCAAGGGGATCTCCATCTTCTAGATATTAGATTAGCCCCTTGAGTTGCAGATGACCACTAAGATCCATAACAAAATTCTCCCAGCTACCATGGTATATCTGGTCGGAAGACGGCCAAGGTGCAGGCCTCTCTCTAAGATCTAATGGGTTATACGAGGAAGACAGCATCTACAGGCCATCTCCTGAGAGGTGAGGCTGAGGTATGTCAGCATCCAGAGGGGCAGCTAGGGGATTGAAAAAGGGGGTGTAGGATGTCTATTTTGTCTACTTCTCAATTACTCCTATTGTTTCTAACGAAACCCTACTTTGTGCCTTTCATCAACTGACATAGCGACCTGATTCAAACGGTGCTCAGGCGACCGGCAGTGGTAGATACTAGACTAAACACAGAGAGTTAAATGTTCTTCTCTTTTCCTCTTTTTCTTCATTCTTATCATTTTTTTCTTTTGTTTTTACTTTTCGGGCTCTGAGCCACCTGCCTAGTCATCGCAGGCCGATTTTCTGCTATTTCCTTTTTTTTTCCTCTTTTATCTGCCCCTCGAATTTCATTTTACGGAGATTTCTTCCTTGGTCCAATACTAACTTTCTAGATGTATTGATGCAGTTGTCTATTTAAACTATTCTTTCATTTTGGATTTGATGGTTAAACAGGGACTAATGTGCATTTGTGGGGGGTAGAATCTCTATTTTTTAATATTGACTCACTTCGCAAATTCGCATTAATAAGACAAGGGCCTCGCTCACCTCACGCCTTGGCCAATAGGAGGCTGGCATCCTCATCTCGCAGCGAGACTTTTTAATCACTCACTAGAAAAAAAAAAAGAAAATGAAACTAAGATAGACTACAACAACAACAACAACAACAACATACCCAGTATATTCCCAACAAGTTGGGGTCGGGGGGTTCAGTTGTACGCAGACCTTACCCTTGTAATTATACAAGGAGGCTGTTTCCGTAGCGACCCAAGGTGCATTGTACCGTTTGATTTTTTTTTTTTTCTAGAAACTTCACTAATAGAAGAAGCACTAGAATTTAATTGAGCCATTTTGATCTAGTCCATTATTAGCACTATGCCAGGAGAATTGTCAACTAAGATAGACTACTCTAAGATTAAAACTTCGCTCAGAGTTTTGGAAGAACAGCACCAATATGATTTTTTCCAAATATAATTTAGCAAGACATTTAAATCAGAAATGCTTTCCCCACAGAGTAAACATAAAACACGCTCCCCAAGTATCAAAAGGCAAAGGTGGATCTAAAAAGGTCTCACAACTTTTACGATCCACATTTCTAAACCCCCACACAACCCCAAATGTTCTAAAATTCAACATGCAATTCCTTGCAGAAAGATGATAGACAAATGCACAAAGCACAATGCAAAACATATACTTACCATAAGAAATATCCTGCCTCAAACTATTCTGAGATTATGGGAGCCACAAAGCTGTAACAGTGCAGCTTGATTAGCTTGATCAAGATTTTCAGTAATAATTCTTGGGTAAATTCCAGCTGAACGAGTAGAAAGATTTGCCAGAGATGCAACCAAGAATTGCTTAGGATCATTGATATCTCGCAGAGGGTCCTCTTCTTTCCTCCCAGCATTGTATAGCTGAACGAATGCGGCATTATAACCCACAGTTTCACCAAAATCCGGAACATCAGGCTCCTCCTCCACTCTATCCTCCTCCGGCCTTGAAATAAGTGTAACAATGCTGTCAAGCATTTTACCCCAGAGACTTGGATCTGCTGCCGATAGGGTCTCACATAAAAGTCTAGTAGAGGCAACCGAACTCAACTTGAGCTCCATTGAACCTGTGATCATCTTGAGAGTGGGTATCCAGAATTGCTCAAGAATCGTGCGGAAAATATCAGGCTGAACAGCATTCATGGAGCCAACAAGGTTTTCTGGACCATGTTTCACCAAAAAGAGTGACATAAATATGACGAGAGACTTGGTGAACTTCACAGTCCTGTTAAGTTGCAGCCGTTTGAACAAAGCAACCCAGATATGGCTAATGTAGGGAGAGATCACATCATAACCGAGATGTTCGATCACAGTGTTAAGCACATAAAATCCTTGCTCGTCAGTACTTGGAGATGAGACTAACGTGTTGAATATTCCAAGAATACTAGACAACCGCCCCTGCTGGTTTAGTTCATGTGGTGCCTTTCTTAGGAAGGCCTGGAGCAGGCGAACAAGAGCAGGAACATTTGCCGACTTTTTCCAAGATTCAGGGAGGAGTAATATCGCAAAGATCTCCATATAATTCACTGGCAAAGGAGATCGATTCAAGTCAACAAGCTGTGCGAGGAGCTGGAATGCATACGGGAAGAACTCGCTGACATCCCTAGCTAAAATCATCTGCACGCTGGGCAGCAGGCTAGTCTCAAAGGCTGAAATAACCGAAGGATCCTGCTCGCATGCCCGCCTGATAAGAAGAGCCACAGACTCGAAGAGATAATGGTTGAATACAGGATTCTTCGGGTTCTCACAGACCCTGTTCAGTAAAGCTGCCAGGCCATTGATGCAAGGCAAAGCAACTTCACGCGAAACATTAGCAACCCCAAGAACCCGCATGATGCACTTCATCACATACTGGTTCTCCTCAGATTCTGGCTTCTGCAAGGCATTGAAAAGATTGGTCATCAGTGCAAGCAGAAATGGATTAACGTCATCGGCTGTGTATCTTGGCCTCCCCCCTTCTTCCTTGACCAGAAGGAGCTTCTCAATGCAGCTAGCGGCATACGAATGCACCACATTCGACTCAGATGCAAGGAAGCGAACCACTTCAGGTAGCAGTGCCACTGCCACATGCTTGGGTATATGGTGCCTAAACATGGTGAAGAATTTCAATGCCCCAGCTTTCAACATGGGGAACCCGTCCACATCCTGACTTCTCAACTCTGGAACGATTACTGTGCTGAAGAAGCTCTCAACATCAACAATGTCGGTCGTTATAAAGTTTCCACCAGCTCGTTTCATGGCAAGGCAAACAACCAAATAAATAGCACAGTCCTTGTGCTTCCAGTTTGCAGCTGGATTCTCTGCAAATGAGGCCAGAAGGCTCTGTACCTGAATGGAGACCTTCTGGGTCACATTATCCTTATAATTCACAGCAATTCCCTTAAGGAGTTCACATGCAATCCTCCTACGGGTGTCTAGGTCACTGCCTTCCATATCCCTCCGTATGAACTCCACATAGTTCATCTCAAAAAGCTCTTCATCCTCATCCCTCAACATCACATTTGGGATCACGATACTCTGAATAATCTGTTGTAAAATATTGTCACTCGCAAACAAATTATGATGGACGCTTGTGCTAACAGTGTTCAAGAACTTGATACCAGTCACGGTCAGCCTCTCCCGGCTAGAATCACTGGAGGCAACCACCAAGAGCCCCCATACTGCATCCACAAACCCACGCAAATACTTCTCAAATAATTCCTCCTCTTTCTCCATATAGAGGCTAATGTTCTCACAAACGGCAGCCCGCAACCCATCAACAGAAGCAAGCCCATCACCTCCACCTTCTTCTAAAGCAGGATATTTTACCGTCAAATATTTATTGAACTCAATCATCCATTCATCCATGTGATCCTCAAAAAATTCAGGAAGATCGATGAAATTGAGTGAAAAGAATATCCTACAACAAAGCCTCTGCGACTCTATATAACCCTTGAGAGAAATGGTATTAGGGGCCCCAGAACCCACAGTTTGGTCTATAAAACTTGCAGTCCTCTTAAACACTTCGAGCAATGGCTTGGCAAAGTTATCCAGGCAGTACTTCAAATCCAGCATCAGGTCATTAGACTTATACTGGTACCTGAATTTCTTAAATAAAGAGTTAACCGTCGATAAAACCCCATTAACGGAAGCATAGTTGTTAGCCTGGCTCAATTTATCCAGAGTCACCACCAATTCAGGCAAGAGAGTAGGCCAAGCTCTAGGGAAATCGTGCTTACCTATGATGGTTAACGCCTCACTTAGCTGAGCTTGGATTTTCGGCGGGGTCTTAATCATTAGGGTGACAATGAAAGCCTTAATCTGCTCCTTCTCTGCGTCGGGCACAGCTGTTTGAGCTGGGTCATTAGGCTGTACGGCCCAATGGGCTTTGAGGTGATTCT